TCCCTTTAGTACTATATCAGACTAATATGAAATGAACTTATTCCACTGGTACCAAATCAATGTGATAAGATGTATTCATCCCTTTAGTACTATATCAGACTAATATGAAATGAACTTATTCCACTGGTACAACATCAAAACATGCTATAAATTAAAATATCATGCCAGTGTTAAGGACTATATTCATCCCATTATTATCATATTGGGAAAGGTTACAAACTACTTACCAAATCACAGTTCTTAAACAAACCAGTACTTATTTTTAATCTTAATTCTATCATTTTTTAGTTTGTGAATAATCAATTATTATCATGCAGAACTTTTAAACTTCTAGTTAATATGGTACTGATAGAACTTCCTGTAATAAATTTAGTGAATCTAACACTGAATGTAGCTGTCCAGAATTTTATCCTACAGTATATACAAGTGCTTGAGCTCATTGACTTTAGAATGTTTGGTAGTAATATTACAAAATGAAATGTAATAAAACACTTATGGATTATTAAAATGTTTTAGGTGTTAACTTAAATGCTTCACCTCCTGAGCTCTTCGCTACTTTGTGCTAATGCTTGTGCAACTCGGTCAAGCCTCAAGGATCGTGGAGTAGGTGGGCTGGAATCTCGTCGTAAAAGTCGGCTGTCATCTTTGGATTCTATATGTCCTGGAGTCTACAGCACACAAAGATCAACTTCAATGAAACCATGTGAAAGAGAAATACACTTATGGAAAAAAAAGAGATAAAGATTATAGAAGCTGTAAGTATCCAAAGTATGTTACACAAACAAGTATTCTATGGTTCCATGTTACGACTTTTTTTAATTTAATTATTTACCAGCAATAATAATTTCCCCAAAACTAAGAAAACTTAAGGTTAAGCTTTTGTTAGTGCGTATGTTTGTGTAGAACCTTAAAAAAATACACAGACCTCAAATTTAGAGCTGCTATAATTCAAAAGTAGATACACTGTTTATACTTGAATTATTGCAACAGTGGAGTTTGTTCCATTAAAAACAAAGAAATGTAGGAGAAAAAGATAACATTTGGAGGTAATATTTTATTTGATGATAATACTATTCGATAAATAATAATAATATATATATATATATATATATATAAAGTACATAACAAGATATAATTCAAGTCTAATGGTGTAGGGAGGTGAATATAACATTTTATAACTCTTCCATTTTTAGGTACAACTAATTACATATAATGGAGATTCTTTCAAAAAAAAAAGCTTGAATCACAGAATATTAAAATGTATCATTCATTATAAAACTCATGCTTTTTTACATGCTGAGCCACACATAATACAGTGCAACTATCTACAGAGCAAATGCTGATTACTAGAAATTACAGGAAAAATAGCTGAAGAAGGGTAAATAATGATTTAGTGTGTGTGAAGAGCAAGACATTATAACTAAATAAGAACACAAACAAATACCTTGTTTCCAAGTTATTTTTATGAATTTGAAAAAAAAAATTAAAATCTTATTCCATTTTTACTATTTTCTGTAGTTTATATAGAAACAAAAACATTAACTTAAAAATATTTATACTGATACGTTTTAGTTTTACACAAAACTATCATCAACTAATGGGGTATTGTGCCACAGATCTGTTCGAGTATAGATATTTAACTATATACCTTGGATAATAACAAGATTACTTCTGTTTTACTGCTTAACAAACAACAAAGAATCTGTATTAATTAGAATATTTTGTATAAAGTATTGTTGTTTGTTCAATAAAGGTAACACTTTAGAAATATATCATAAGACTAAGTTTATTTAGTTACTTTAGCAAATTTTTCTTGAGGGCAAGTCCATGTTTTCCTGTGCCTATAATTACATTTAGACTTAAAGAACTTTGTTAGGAAAGTGTAAGCATACTGACAAGTTGTTGGTATTCTGTTTGGCCTAAATCATTCTATTGTACACTCGTTTTAAAATAACATTTTGTACAAATTCTAGAATCAATAAAATAAAATTTGTAATTTTTCACTTTTTAAGCCAACCCATAGAGATCTTTAATTTACAATGTTAATTTTTTCAAGTTCAATCTAAATTTGTTATTTTTTCATATTCAACTTTAAACAGTCAAATATTTTCAGAGAAAAAAAATCTAGAAACAGTGCTGAAAAAAAAAGTATTTCAAGAACAGTGTAAGCAATCCGAGATGGAATTTGGAAACAAGGTACTTGATGGTGCCATGTGTATGTAGGCCAAGACAAGTACCTGAGAAGTGAGAAGAGATTCACCAAGCTGGGGTTGGCTGGTGGAGGCATACTGGTACAAGTGGACTGGGGTCAAGGAGGCTGGGGCCTGGAACGTTGGACATGTTCAGCACAATACACACTACTTTCTACTCACAAAAACTTCTAGAATTTTTATTTAAAATGTAGCGAAAGAGCTACAAATAGAAATTTTACCACCAGACTAGCAATATTCTATTTTCTGTATTGTAAGCTTATTTGTGTTTGTTTTTTAATGTAAAGACTTTCACCAACTGTAACTTCTACTATTCTATCATTTATGCTTCAGTAAATTACAAAATAAACAACAGTTATCATTAACAGCTATGCAATTAACATATAGTTTTATTTTCATGCCAATGGAGTACATATAATCTTAAAGAAGCAATTGCCATTCCAATTTTTAACATGCTCATTTGTGGTGCTAAAATAAGCTTCATGAACTGAATTAACGTCAGTAACAGTTCATACGTATCAAGTACCTAGTTGGACTAGAACACACTTAAAAACTGTATTACAGTAAACATCTGCAATCCACACGTAGGAGTACAATTACATTTCCCACTCAGTTAACTTGGATAAAATACTGATGTTATTTTACTATTTTTCCTTATAAGATTTTTTTTTGATAGATCAAATAGATGTTTTATGCATCAATATTATATGAAACCAGTGCTCGAAGTGGAAACAAATAGTATAGGTATGGTACATAGTCTTTAACTCAAAATTATTATTTACTAGTATTGATTTTACTTTTAGTAAAGTTCCCAAAGCACCCAAAATTGAGCTGAATGTTTTTTACACTTTTCTTCTAGTTGTGTGCAGTGCAGGCTTGGAATACCTAACTTTTGCCAGCCATTTTTGACGCAGCCTGAATAAACAATGGGAAAGGTTTTTTGTTTCGATTAGGTGAGAAGCTGCACAATGGGCTATCTGCAGTGTATTCACCAGGAGGATGGAACCCCCAGGCTTAGCAATAAGCCACTGGGAGGTATGGAGAAGGAGACCCTGGCCAAGAATTAGACCAGTATGACATATAATTTACATAATGTAACTACTCCAGCTTAATATGAATGTGTTCTGCTTGTTTGAATTGAGTTTTAGTTTAACCTGCCTATAACTTATTATTTTTGATATTTTTTCAAACTTAAAACACCTTCATGAATTGAAGTAATAAAAATATGTATTTTTTTATAGAAAATATCTGATGCACATATTTATTTGAAAAGTAAAGACATTTAATTAGTTTTTAGTAACAGAGGTATGGTATACTTCCACATTTCAAGCATTGTGTTCAATTTCATAAAACTACGGGAACTTTGGTTGGAAGTCAGAATCAGAAGTTGACAAAAAAAAATAACCAACTGTTGAAATTATTACAAATAAGAGTAATTTAGCACTGAATGTTTAAAGACCAAATTTTATTAGATGAGCTTTTGGGTGAATGAAATTTTACAATTGTGTCATGAACACCTCTGTAAATTGTTTGTTTGTTTTGAATTTTGCGTAAAGCTACACGAGGGCTATCTGTGCTAGCTGTACCTAATTTAGCAGTGTAAGACTAGAGGGAAGGTAGCTAGTCATCACTACCCACCGCCAACTCTTGGGCTATTCTTTTACCAACAAATAGTGGGATTGACTGTAACATTATAATGCCACACAACTGAAAGGGTGAGCATGCTTGGTGTAAAGGGGATTCGAACCAGCAACCCATAGATTACAAGTCGAACACCCTAACCACCTGGCCATGCCGGCCCGACCTCTGCAAATAGATAGAAATGTTTTAAAGTGGATAACATTTTTATCTCTAAGCTAAGGTACAGTCAATAAAAAATTTAATCTTGTACAGTACACTCTGTAAAAACTGTCTCTAAAACAAGGATTATTTTAAGTACACATCAGATGCACAATATTTCATAGTATATATATATATATATATTTATGTTACTTCAAATTAAAGAATAAAAGACAAAATATATTAGTATTTCAAGTGTATTTGTCATCTCTTATGTATTAACATGAGCATTATTTTGGTACTCTATTATATATTTCTACAAATATTATTCCTGATAAAAATACAAAAAAATAAATGTTCTTTCAATGACAAAGATATCAGTTTGATTTACTAATAAAATTTATTGAAATTTTAAGTACATTTGTCTCAAAGCAGAAGTGTTTAATAGTTTCTGATTAACATTACAACACACCACATTATCTAGATTTCTTCAGAGTATTTAGTGGTATTAACCACAAATTTCTTAACATGTTAATATTTAGTTTAACTTTGCAAGTGATGTAATTTACTAATTTCCACAAGTTAGGTCTAATTCATCATAGTTAATAACTGTTATTATTCTCTAAAAATCTCAGATAAATTAAAATACCATAATTGTTTTATTGGAAGATTTGTGGAACATTTAAATCCACTGTTGCATATTTTATTTGTTAGATGTACGTCTTCAGTAGTTTTGTTTCTCTACAGTTTAGAATGGTTGGACTTAGTTTGTTTGTTTTTTTCCCTTAAGAAAATATAGAAACAGAAACAATTATTATTGAGTATATTTATGCTGAGTTGGCAAAAAACACTTTAATTTTAATAGATGTTAGATCTAACAATACCAATAGGATCAGATCTTTCTAATGGATAAAAAATTAGTTTTAGATAAAGATTTTTTTTCATTCTAAAATGACCAGGAGTGTAGGTAAAATGGAATATTCAGTGAAATGCATATCTTTTACCAAGATAATGATAGTGGTTCAGGAATACTCTTAATTTTTTATATACTTACAATAAATAAAGACAATTATTAAAGCTTTAAAACTTTTACCTCTTGCTAGATGATCCTTATAGGATTTTTTTTACTGCCATAAGGGGCATCATAATGGGGGGGGGGGGGGCAAGGTTATTAAACTCCAGCCTTGCAGGCAAGGAGTTATTTTGGATAGTAAAGAGTGCCTGAAAAAGCATCTAAATCCTAAAAGCAAAACCAAATTCAGCAAGTGAGGAGCAAATAATTGGTATTTATGTCACCAAGCTATTTAAGCATTATAGTTGGGAAAAAAATTAAATCATCCACAGAGACAGCTTCTGAAAACAGCTACACCATTTTTTATTTTTCATTTGGTAGAAAACAATATTTCCATTTAAATTATCAAAGACCTACTTTGGGATACACTAATGCATGATTACCACCACCCCCTCCCCAGTTAAATTGTGGAAGACTATGTCAGTGCACGAGTTGTCCCCTTCCAGCTTTTTTTTTTGGGTTGTGATGCCCCTGCTCCTATATAAAGTTGGCTTACATTTGGTATTTTTATCTATTAAAATACAACCCAATTTAACAACTTGACAAATAACACCAGTACTTTTTACACAAGATTTTCAAATGTATTAAAATAAATGCTAATCAAATTAAGTTCATAAAAATACGTTATCTAGCATCTGTTTTGGTCCTGAAAATATAGAAATACAAAAGTCTGACCAGCTTTGTTCTCAGGAAATTCCATTCATTTATTACTATACTGTCTCTATGAGAAATCACAAAAATAAACTCCACAAAAAATGTTTTTATTGTTACAAGTTTTACCTTTTTGTAAACAAAGTCAAAAAAAAATGTCAAGTTAGCTCAACTTGCAAAAATTGAGATATGTGCTTTATTATTAAACAGCATTACCCCAGTCTGTAGAAGAAGTAGTAAAAATATTATTAAACAGCTTTACCAGTCTGTAGAAGAAGTAGTAAAAATATTATTAGACAGCTTTACTGTTTAATAATATTTTTACTACTTCTATAGACTGATAAGGCTGTTTAATAATATTTTTACTACTTCTATAGACTGGTAAAGCTGTTTTATAATATTTTTAATACTCCTTCTAGAGACTAGTAATGCTGTCTTATAATATTTTTAATACTCCTTCTATAGACTGATAAAGCTGTCTAATAATATTTTTAGTACTCCTTCTAGAGACTAGTAATGTTGTCTTATAATATTTTTCTACTTCTATAGACTGGCTTTATCAGTCTCTAGAAGGAGTAGTAAAAATATTATAAGACAGCTTTACCAGTCTATAGAAGTAGTAAAAACATTATTAGACAGCATTACCAGTCTATAGAAGGAGTAGTAAAATTATTATTAGACAGCTTTACCAGTCTATAGAAGTAGTAAAAATATTATTACACAGCTTTACCAGTCTATAGAAGTAGAAAAATATTATAAGACAGCATTACTGGTCTCTAGAAGGAGTATTAAAAATATTATTAGACAACTTTACCAGTCTCTAGAAGGAGTAGTAAAAATATTATTAGACAGCTTTACCAGTCTATAGAAGGGAAAAGTAAATAAGAACAATTCCTCTTAAATAATAAAAAAAAAAGTCATTCACAAAAATACGCACAGGATACTTTCTCAGATTTACAGAAATTCACAAACATTTTCTGTGTATACCATTTTGACTAACTAATAGAGATAATACATAATTTTGTGTTGTTAATCAACCATTTTGGAAATACACATCCATTGCTCTTTCAGTGTAATAACAGCCCCCAGTTTTTGACGGCTGCAATAAAAGGTTTTAAAGATCAACACTAATCTTCATTATTGCAAGAAAATGTTTATTTCTTACTCCTCCTCCTATAGACTGTTAATGCTGTCTAATAATATTTTTAGTACTAAGCTCTTATTATATAGAGTAAACATTTTTCTAATTACCTTAAGCTAGAAGCTTCACACCGTGAAATTTTTAGTGTCCTCCATTATGGTTTTTGCCATGAGAGTCAGGCTTAAACTTAGAAAAGAGAGGAAAAACCTAGAAGGTTAAAACGAACACCAACTAAAATCAAACTAGCAGAACAATTAATTTGAAAGAGCAAGATCTATATATGCATCTCAAAACTTGAACAAATACAGGAAAATAGTAGTTTTATGTTTTTTACGCTTGTTTATTTAAACAATCTTAACTTACAAAATTTGGTTTTGCACAACAGAGTGGTAGATAATTCAAAAGGAAAAAAGTATCAATATTTTCATTTGTATATGTAAAGAAATCTTATGCATCAGAAGAAAAGATTCAGAATGCTTATAAACATAAATATGGTCAGAAAGTGGAAAAGCAAGCTGTGTCAAAACAATACTAAAATCTGGTAATAGAAATTTTCTTTTTAACTTAAGTTTTATGTGTTGAGACATTCATATCATTACTTACATGTTGAGAAGGCTCATACAAGGCTCCATCATCGAAGATTTTTTTTTTATTATCATGCAATCACTTTGTTTATACTGACTTTGTATTCATTCAATGGAACCCTCAACTAATATGTCGAGGGTAAACTCTGGTAATCATATGAACAAATAGCATATTTTTAAAATTAATATTAGTTTTATGACATTTTAGTCATCTCTGATTGCTAACAATAAAAGTTAGAATTTACTTTCTAGGATTAAAACATATGAGGTAATATGGGACTTCTAGCTTATGGCAGCAGTAGTTGGAAAACTATTTATTTTATGGCAATTTTAATTACATATACGTTATAAAACAACCAAATTCCTAACTTAAATAATTGCAGGATATATATTATTTCAAACTTGTCATTACATTATTACGAAAATAGTCTTTTTCTGAACACCATTGGCCGATAGGTCTTTTCAACCCCAAACTTTCCTTGATGTTAGATTTTAACCATTTTTTAATGAACAATATGTCGATATCAAAGCTAATCTGTTGGCAATAACACAGTAAACAGTGTTTATATCATAGCCAGAATAGCTTTCGATTACTATATACCATGTAGAGTGTTATCATTACACAACACATCCCATAAAACAATGTTTTTTTCCCACTACATATTCAACAGAAAATACCTACAAAGTAAAAAAAAAAACACTTTAATCTATCAACTCTACACATAGACAATTGCTAAAGAAAAGTGTCTGGGTGACTACATTAAGTCCAACATATTACATGTACTTACTGTATGGTACTTCTGTAAGTAATCTTTTTGAGGACTTTGATGGGATTTGGGAGTTGATCGACCACTGTGAGGAGAAGATGGTCGCTCTAAAGCACGACCATGTGCCATAAGACCCACAGTTTCCAGACTACCAAATCGAGACTCCAGTTCCTCAGCTCTTTGTTCTGTGTTTTGTTTTTCTTCCTGAATAAGTCTGAAACAAGAGTAGTTAAAATTCTGATAAATACACCAAACTTACATTAGATGAATGGTATCAGTAGATGAAACATTTCGTCCTTGGATAATTCTTATTATATTTCAAACTTTGAAATATTCATAAAATGGACAGTAAAGTTAAGTTTTAATAATGGTACATCAAGTGGCACTTTTTTTTGAGTTAGAAAACTAAATTTGACAATCTATCCACCATAACAGATCTAAATCAAAAATATTTTTGTTCACAAAGAATATATTTATACATCCAGAGTAATCTGAACAATCAGGACTTTTTTTGGAAGAAAAGTATCTTGAAAATAACAGAGATTATAAAGTGTTGAATAACAAAAAAAAAATTGATTTATCAATTTTTTTCATGTGAAAATATCACAAATAAAATGAATATGAAAAAAAACATACAAAAACAACTTACTAACAACTATTTTGAAGCTAAGTTAAACAAAAGCATGAAAACTCAAACACTTTAGTAAAACAGACAGGTAAAAAATACCACTGTAGTCAGAAATTAAACACTTTACCCTACACTTAAGAAACATTTACAGTGTTTCTGTGAGGTATATCTGTGTTTTATAAAACTCAGATTTTAAGTTAAAAAAGCATTTTCTTTTTAAAACCAATTAAACCTTAGGTTTTGTTGTGTCTACTGAGACTATTTCAGTTGAATTCCTGAAAATGTTTGTAATCAACAGTTGTCCAAAACCTACTTCAGTTACAGATGTCAGGTCTTTAATATGATTTGTAACAAATGTTGAAAATCCATACATTGACATATACAACTTTCAGAGCCTTTGTGTGAAACCAGTGTGACAGAAAGAGTTTTAATCTTCTGAAGGAAAAACTATATACTACACTTACCCTAGGGTACTTTAATTTTTTCTCTATTTGTTAGATTTCATTAACTAGTAACACTAAATGCAGCTATAATCTTACAAGTAATGCCAGAAGAGCTGTTGTAATTATACAATAATAATTACAATTGATAATAAAAAGCCTCTGTGAAAATTCTGTCCTAAATCATCAGTTGGGTACCCTAGTGTGAAAAACAAACAAACTTCATCATTCCACAGTAAAAATCAATAAAAGTATCTGTAAACCAGCTTCTGACTCAATTTAATAATATATATATATATATATATATATATATAGGTATACATCAACCACACTGAAAACATTATATCAGGGAGGCAGAATAAAATTAACAAGTTACTAAGTTGTAGTTTGGAGAACCTCATTTCAAAACTAACTATATGAATACACTTTATCCACTCTGTTACATAATTAAACAGTTCAAATGTCCTGATGAAATTTAATTACACATCAATGAAATGAAGAAGAAAATGATGATGGAATATACAAACCATAGGTCATGACAATTCACTCGTGTATATAAATTCATTATTCAAGTTTTTGGATTTCACATGGAATCACTTATATGTGTAAAATACCATTGGTATTCAACAATAAATTAAAAAGAATAATAATTAAATTGTGTGAACAGCAATTCAAACTAACCTGATTTCATTATTGATAGCATCTAGCTGTTCCTGAAGCATCAGAGCAAGAGTCTGGGCATCTGTTTGACCAGAAGGAGACAACATGTCCATAGCATTTAAAATACCTTCTGTTTCATCTGCTTGGCCTGATTCTGTGTCACTAACATCAAAAGCTTGTTGAACATTAGCTATGACATTGGCTTGTTCCATCTTTTCCCATTCCTGTTCATTAAGAGTTTGAACCTAGAAAAATGTATCAACTAAACTATAAGTCTATAAAACTTAAGTTAAATAGTATGAGCATTCTGTGCACAAGTTATATGAACAAAGGAAAGGAATTTTGCCCCAAACTTATATCATATTAAAATATTATTCAGACACTTAAGTACTGTCATCTATATTCTAGGAACTCTTTCTGTACAACTGGGTCAAGGTGTGGATGCCATGACCTTTTACAGTGTTACATTCAAAATTTAATTAAATGTATGTCAATAACCCTGGCATAAAAACATAGTATATAATTGCAGTTTTCATATTATCTATGTTTTGACTTCCAAAGTAAAAATCAAAATCAAAATGAAATTTAATACTTTGTTTTCTGTGTCATATGATGTGTCTTAGCTTTGATTTCTCTACTTCAGAATTTCCAACTTCCAAAATAGGTTGCTGAAGTTTATAACCAATTAGACATATACATCATAGACAACTGTGACCAAGAATCCAAACTTTGAACCTCTTTATTTACCAAAATATCAGTAAATTTGTCAAACCCACCACAGTAGATCCCCCCCCCCCAAAGAAAACCTTTGAGATTATTTGCTAATCAATTTTACCTGACTGATGGGCACATTTTACAACCAATAGAAAGAGCAAAATCATCTCTATATAATTCTTACAATTCTGCTTCCAGTTTTCCATACATTATCTTTTAGTCAGTGAGAGTTCTTTGGTTTTGTTGATTAGTTATAGTGTTCTAAACAGTAATAGATTTTTATTTTTAACCTATTCATACCTTACTAATAAAAAAAACAGATAATTACAGTAGTTCTGGGACATTCAGTTACAGTGCCCAATATATTATTCATGTTCTAAAATGCACATTTGAAAGCTACATAATTTTTTAAAATCCAAATTTGTGAGATTCAATGACATTTAGGAGAGAGATCACTGAATATTTTTACTCAAATGCAAACAGATTGAGCATGCAGTTAGTTCTAGATGGCATTGTTTCTTACGTATATTTTCTATTTATTGTTTATATTTTTTAATAAAATTAATTGAAGTGTGAAAACAATAAACTTCTAAGCTTAGTCTAAAAAATTTCAGTAACACAAAATATCTAAAGTTACACCAGCTTAAACGAAGGTGTGAAATATGACATTAGATCATGTGTTGTTAACATTAGCTCTAAATTTCAATAGCAAAAAATATCTAGAGTTACACTAGCTTAAATGAAGGTGTGAAATATGACATTAGATCATGTGTTGTTAACATTAGCTCTAAATTTCAGTAACACAAAATATCTAGAGTTACACTAGCTTAAATGAAGGTGTGAAATATGACATTAGATCATGTGTTGTTAACATTAGCTCTAAATTTCAGTAACACAAAATATCTAGAGTTACACTAGCTTAAACGAAGGTGTGAAATATGACATTAGATCATGTGTTGTTAACATTAGCTCTAAATTTCAATAGCAAAAAATATCTAGTTACACTAGCTTAAACGAAGGTGTGAAATATGACATTAGATCATGTATTGTTAATATTAGCTCTATGGGAAACAGTAATGGGCTACTGCTGTGATTTACTGCTTTTGATGCAGGATTACTGTCCCAATACAGCAACAAAAGCATAAAATCAAAAGATACCTGAACTGGAACTTTCTAATTAATACTGCAGTCAGTGCAGATTAAAAAAAATGGTATTAATAATTTTACTTCATAGTATTTATCTTAACTTTTCACTTCACTGTACCTTGATCATTTATCTGAGGTTAGTGTTAGGATCGAGAAAATAAAAGATAAAATATAAAGTTTTACAAAAAATAAACAAAATGGTTTTGATATTCATTGAGGAGGTTTGAGAGATTATGCAAATGAAATAAGAAAACTTTAAGAGGAAAATAAATATTTTTATTCTTATCATGAAATCAGTTTTCAGTCAGAATGACTTGGAAAGGCTTCAAAAGTTCCTAGACGAATACTTACTGGGACTTTATTAATAAAAAATCTGTTTTTTTTGTTTGTTTTTTGTGTGTGTAAAACAGACTTGTAATATCTACTAAAAGCTTGCCAGATTTTGCGATGATACACATTGTAAATTAAAGTTTATAGTATATTTAGTTTGACAGTTCAAAGGTTGGTTAAATTAACCATCTTCTCTCTTATATGTTTGTATGTTCAGAAAATGAACTTAAAAACAGTATATTCTAATCCAATTTCTGAATGTACAAATTTACAAGTATTCAATATTTATTTTATATCTACTTATAACATATAAAACACATCTACTAGCATTAATAAAACTTTTTTTCAAAACATACATTTTTGGGAAGGAGAACTTACTTTCGACAGATCTTCCTCCACGGACTGCTGTCGGCCTCTGTGTGTCCTGCGATTAACAGAGGTAGTAGGAGAAGTGAAGGTCAGTAGACTACTGTATATATTAGCCCCAGAAAGGGGTGCTCTGCTGCCAGGGGAAGAGAGAAGAAAGGGGTGGGAATAAGCCTGGCTAGAAGCTGCTCTAATTCATTCAAAGCAGGCAGACAGCAGGAGTGAAACATGCACCGAAGCCATAAACCCCCCCTCCCAAAGAAAACTAAAGCAAAAGTGACAGATTCAATAAACTTACTAAAGTAAAAACCACAACCACCTAAAATAGTTCAGAGATTAGCAGCATATGGCATTATCAGTGAAAATAAAAAATATCACTAGTACCTGCACATAAATATCATACTTTAATTCAAAATTCACTACAACTTTAGATAATCCACTTTAACAATCCAAATTTTAAGCTTTATTTTTTATGTTAATCATTTACAATCTTAGCATAAGGCATTTCTACAAATAAACATCAAGGACTGACATTAACTTTTTTAACTAAAAATTAATATTTTGTAAAAATGTGTTGTACTAAACTTATCAAAGTACCCCTGAACTTCTGTAATACATAACCTTAACAGATTCTAGATTTTATGTGTGCATGAGCATTTCAGCAAAGTTTGAAATGAAATTTTTTTGATGATAGAAATACAAAGAAAAGAATATAAAAATGTACTGCAAAGAAAAGAAGGGCAACAGCTACACAATGCAAAGATATTATACATAAGAGTGCAAGAATACAGCAACAGCCAACTAAACATTTCACATAAAATCTGTTCTTATTTAACATGATGGGACATATAAGTGGTTCGTATACAGATTGGCACATAAAAGGCATGATACTTTCTCCTGCATTATATTAGAAACATGAAAATAAAACATCAAAATATGCATTACACATTTATAAAAATATGATTAAATATTCTGAACAGCTAATATTTATGTAATAAATATTTGCCAAAAATAGATTTTAGTTACTTTATTCATAATAACCAAACATAAATTTATATTAGCACCCAATTAAATGTAGTATTTAGTGTGCCTTGTCACCAAAAGAAATAGTACAGTTAGGACTGATAATACCTAATCTGATTTTCACATTTTATTTGACATTATATTACATTAAAAATTCAGAGGAACAGTAGACTATATGTATACATATTTTCCTGTAAAGGAATTGTAATCATAATAATTATACTTCTAAATTTATTGGGGCAGCATACACAGGTCATGTTTCAAACTCAGACATCATACTCCATGCTGTGTTTTAAAGCTGGGACAGCACATTTGATTCTTTGATAGATCATTTAGGCTGAGTATTCATGATGAACTTTAGTTGAATGGACAGTAACTGCCTGTTGTAGAAACACAAGTGTAAAGGACGATGTTTCGAATGTCTTCTGACCTGAAGATGAAAGGCGGAAGACTTTCGAAAAGTCGTCCTCTACACTTGTGTTTCTACAACAGACAGTTACTGTTCATTCACATAACTTTCATCAGCATATTCTATTCTGTGTTTTAAAGCTGGGATAGTATACTCCAAGACATGTTTTAAAGCTCAGAAATGATAGCCAAAGTTGTGTTTTAACACTGTTTTATGTTATATTCAGTTTTATGGATACACTCTGAATTCTTCTCTTACTTTTTGACCATCTACTGGCTAAGAGGATTTCTGATATCAGTTTAGCATTTACAGAGTTAAAGTCAGACCAAGAAAGAAAAAACAGTTTCAGCTCAATCTCTTTCTTTATCCCAGTACAACCTATATTTTACTGAATAACAAGACTACTGACCTTCCTAAGCTTTCAGTTCTGTAATTACTAAAGTCCTGTCGAAGTCCATCCATTTCAGCTCTCAGTTTTCCCAACTCTTGCAAAATTTTATCCTAAAAATTAGGTATATATTTTTTATACATTTAAAATATGACACAAAAGGTAACTAACTGCAGTAGAATTGTACAATAACATCATATATACGAAAAAAAAACGAAGCCAAATGAAGAAAATGATTGCTGTCAATATAACACTCAGAATAGCTTACCTTTAAATGCCAAAGACAAATTTTTTACTCATATAATAAATATATATGATTGTTTTGAAGGATTCTCATAAAATAATAGTTATGTACATTAAATGCTCAATATATTTAGCAATATACAATATAACCAATTGCAAGATATCAACAAACAAAAATTATTATAGCTTCATTGTTCATTAGCAAGAGAGCCTGTTGAAAAGTGTAAATATATACAAAACAAATGCCTAATTTGTTATTCATGAAATATTTTAAATATTGAAGAGTATCCAGATGAAACAAAATAAATATGTAAAACTACATGCAATATCTTACATATCCTTCTTCATAGAGCATTAAATACATATTGCAGAGTTGAGTATGTTTTATTAAAATGGTTCTGAAGCCTCATCAAATCATTACAATCCACTGCTACGTTTGGTCATACTCTATCCAATGACTGTGTATCTTGACTATAGCTCTGCAGTGTAATTTTCATTACAAAAAGCTACATCATAAGGATGTCACGTTAAAAGCACACCACTTATTAGTGCAGGCCTTCCATAAGTCATCTAATGTATAAGTACCACAGTTTCCAAACAACTGTTTCAACAGTCCAATCTCACATAAATCTATAAATGTTACATCTGTTGACCTAATCAGCAAGTCTTTGAATGTAATAACAGGAATGCACATTTCATTCTCCAACTGTTTCAGATATGTGATGGTTGAACTGATATTTAATGGAAGCAACTTGTGTATAAGTGATTTGTGTTGCTTTTCTAAATGGAGATCCTTTTTTGATTTTGTTGTGTTCTACTGCCTGGAGCAAGTAGACAGTTTTTACCTCTGACTTTTCTGTTTGTGGATTCTCACCTATTACAAGATATGCACTTTGCTTACTGTGACTTGGGTACGACTTGTATCAGGTCTCTTTCTGGGTGGTCGTGTCCCCAAGTTGATCCATATTCCTTTGTTTTCCAATGCCACAAAGTAAAAAGGATGACTCCGTCTTGGAATTCTAAATTCCCAATCTGAACACGTCTTTCTGATCTGAGTGTATGAATACTTTATGTTGGAAATGGCTGCTATGTACCATTCCCAAAAGTGATAGATGTTCAGTGCCACCAAACTAACTATAAAATGGCAAACAATGTCAAAATGTAGTTTTAATAGATGCTGCTCTACAGGACTATGTATAGACTGTGGTTGTAATGTAACTTGCTGGTTTGCTTATTTTAATATTAGATACTCAACCCTTTGTATCATGTAAATACATCCGCTACAAATGCACCGTTACATTTCAATAGAAGATGCTGTAAGACACAATCCCATTAAAAATGTTTGCCCATTCTGACAATTATAATTAGCATTATTGAGAAGCTGTTTTAAAACATATTCAAGCATCTATGGTAAATTAATATACCATGCTCTTCTATCTTCTTGTAATATTATAGTATTTAGCCTGACTATATTTTTTGTTCTGTAATATGTGCAAACTTCACATAATACATGGTTTAGAAAGCCTGTAAGTTGATTTTGTTCTTGTCACTTTCGTTCCTTTGTCATTCGATCTTGATCATGGGTGATATTGCTGTAAAGCTGTATGTAGTGAAAGAATGTAGACAGCAGTGTTAGGTCTGATGATATCTCAAAGTTACAACCTTCATTATGTTTCAACAGGATTGACCAACAGCAGACTAAAATGGTATATAGTGTTACGTATATTTTGGAATACAGTACTACGGTTTATTAGTTAGCTCTCTCAAACTCAAGTCCTCAGTTTGGTAAGTGAAGTTTAAGGCCTTTCTCTGTAAATAGTAATACTTTCCTAAAGTGTAACATTAACTAATTCTTAGTAAACATCTTCATAAGTTTTTATAAAGCACTGAGAATTAACTTTATAGTAAAGTCATCCTGTGCACATTGTTTTGATTGGTTTTGAGCATAAATAAAGATTGTTCTCATTGTGTCCAGTCTCTTTCTTTCATAAACTCAGTCAGTCAGAATACTCATAATCACTTTGTAATACTATATCTTGTTAAATCTCCTGTTATTAAGCAACATATCCCATTGCTCTTAGGTTAACTCAATTTTACCTGAATATACCACACATCTAACAATATATATGAAAGAAAATATGTTACAAATAACATTTTCCTCTCTATATTTTTAGACACTTCAAGATTTTCTATACAACGTACCTTTTCACCCCTGGTTTCTTCCAGAACTTTCTGTGTATGGCCAAGCTGCTGGGACAAGTTGTTTTTCTCCTCCAATGCATGCATTCGTTCCTTAAGGTGAAGCTGAAGCCTTTCATTGGATTCTGCCAACAGCTTGTCAACTGTTGCTGAAAGCCGCTGGTTATGATCTTCATTCATTTTTTCTCTCTGTCGATACTAGAATTTAACAGTATCATTGAAACCAAACAAACTGTGAGCAAAACACAAATCTATGTTTAAAATGTCTGATATTATCAATGTCAGCAATTCCTAAAACAAATTGTAGTTGATTTTTTTTGTTTGTTTTTAGTTAAGCACAAAGCTACACAAAGGGCTATCTGTGCTCTACCCAACCCAATGAGTGAAACCTGGTTTCTAGCACTGTAAGTCTGCAGAAATACAGCTATGCCACTGGGGGGCTAAATTTTAGTTGAAAAAGAACATATTCAATGACAAAATAAAAAGTAATTAAAATTTCTGTGTATGTTTTAAAAATATTCTTGTGGCTTATTATTATTTAATTTTAATATTCACACGTCCAATAATTTTCACAAAATTTTGGTTTTAAGGCATTCTACAAATAAATTTGTACATGAATATTTGAATACACTGGCATTAGACAAAAGAAACAAACAAAAATGTCCTTAATTTGAAGTAAAAAGAATAACAGATGGAATATAATTTGAAATAGTGCAGTCTCACAATTTTTTCTCCAAATATGACATTTTGTAAAGTAAACCCTTTTAACCAATAAAATGAGTTGCTTTAATTACATTTCAACCTCTCGCACATAGGCTGAGAAGATCGCTTAAAGACTGTAATACAAAAATGAGAAATTTCAGAAATTTCTAATAATTAACACCAGAAACAAGAAAACAAACTGAGTAGCTATATAGATCAAAGTAAAAATAAGTATCATGTAAATAAAAAAAAAAATTATATGTAAATTACTTCTGGGCAAAATAAAGTTGTATAAATGATAACATATAACCCCGATACCAGACCTATAAACAAAGAGGAGTATTCACAACCTATGGTAATCAGACAAGGATGAATGGCTAGGTGCTACACCACATTCTTCCACCATTGAGGGGGTTCTCTACGATGGTTTTGGTTATTGTCTGATGTTCTGTAGTGTAATTTCATCTAAATTTTTTCTAGTCTATCAACCCCCTTGCATATGACTACTCTGAGAGGAAAGGGGAGGTCAAGTTAAAGGCACAAAGGTCATAGGAGATGTCTGCTAATGGTATAGCATGAATTCCCATTTACAGTTACAACATGTGGAGAAACTGACATGTTGACTTGGACATGTGGCTGGATGCTTTGTATTGCCTTCCAATCCATAAAGATGAGATTTACTAATGAAATGGTGTTAGCAAGTTAAAATAATAGCAGGAGGGATCATCCTGGCATATTTTCTTCATTTTCTAAATGTTTACCTTACCATTACAGTTGAAACCTGGAATTATTACAAATCCCTTGGAATAACTTTTGTGACTCACAGAGTTTCCAATAGCTGGTCTTCTGTTTGGCTGTGTGCTCAATGAGAATCTTGTGAACAAGTCTCCTGTGTAACATTTGCAGACCTAAATCCACATAAATTATCTTGCTTACATTTCCAAGGGAAGTTCTTGCTTTAGTTTTAATGGACCACTGTGTTCTAAGATTACTCCTGGTGACAAGCTGTATAACGTTTTTTACTACTTCCAATTGGTAACTGGTAGCTAGTTGTGGAATAGACTGTTTTCTTCCCGAAAAGAATCATGTCTTCCTTTGCTTTATCAAGGGTTCAACACTACAGATATCGCTTTCTTTGAAACACTAGAATTTCAAGCTTTTCATAATTTCAAAATAGATTAACTTTGCATCAGAAGAGGTTTACCTATACCTACACTTATAAATTACCACTGAATTTCAATCTGTGTAGTTGCAGGCCATATTGCTGGCCAATGAAGGGTAAGCAGATCATGAACAATATGTATAACCCTATCATATATAAAGTTAGGCCTAACATATAATTAGCTTGAAACGATAACTACACAGTATTTTCTACTCAGTATGAACTTAATAACGAAAACAGCAAAACTAAAACCTTACAAAAGTTATGGAAATTAAAATTCATCAGATTTACATCATTAGTATAAAAGAAGAAAAAACATTATCATTGATTAAATTAGATATTCAATTTATTTCTTTTCCTTCTTATTAAAGTTTTATTGATATTTCTTTAAAACTACTATTTCACATTTTAGTTTGAAAAGAGTTTAAATTACTTTCTAATAAATATAAGTTTCTATACAAATCTATATTACACAATACAACTTACTTTGTTAAGTTCCGCATTTTTTTCTTCAAGCTCTTGTTCCAGTTTTTGTATTTGATCTTCTATACTCACATGCCTCTCTTGTGTCTGCTAAAGCAAAGGGGAATTAACTATTAGTAATGAGAGATAGACAGGCTATAATAATTATTACAAAAACAAAAAAAAAACATTAAAAAATATATGGATATTGTTAATGTTGTACACACAACTGTGAGCTGTTAAAAGCATGCCAAATCATCTTAATGTTATACTACGTACATGCCTGTTAATGTTATACTATATACAACTATGAGCTGTTAAAAGCATGCCAAAATTGTGTTAATGTTGTACTATATACAACCGTGAGCTGTTAAAAGCATGCCAAAATTGTGTTAATGTTGTACTATATACAACCATGACCTGTTAAAAGCATGCCAAAATTGTGTTAATGTTGTACTATATACAACCATGAGCTGTTAAAAGCATGCCAAAATCGTGTTAATGTTGTACTATATATAACCATGAGCTGTTAAAAGCATGTCAAAATCGTGTTAATATTGTACTATATACAACTGTGAGCTGTTAAAAATATGCCAAAAGCATGTGAATATTGTATTATATACAACCATGAGCTGTTAAAAGCATGCCAAATGTATGTTAATATTGTATTAGATATAACTGTGAGCTGTTAAAGGCATGCCAAAAGTTTGTTAATATTGTACTATATACAACTGTGAGCTGTTAAAAGCATGCCAAAATCGCGTGAATGTTGTACTATATGTTATTTTTTGTCTATATCAGAATAATCCTGGAATGTTTAACAAGGTGAAGAAATTAGTTTAAAATATTTAAATTTTTGTGTCAGCTAATAACGAATCCAGTTTCCTAAAGATTTGTTTAATTAAAAAAAATATATGAAATTTCATAAATTAGTCAAAAATTGTGGCTGAAAATTGATCCTAGGTCTTCTCGATGTATGTTTGGTGCATTATTCACTCACAAAAAGAGTTGGAAAATGCCGGTTGAGTGGATAACACACTAGATTTCCATCAAGAAGACCAAGAATCAAATCCTGCTCACTACTAACACATAAAATAGTCCTTCTTAGCTAAAACTTTTCTGAACAATAAAACATTACTATAACCTGCCAAAACAAGTAACAGTCAATGTACAACTTATCCAGAGAACAGCAATTGTCAAAATACTAGACTTAAACATAAACAATACTTTTTGTTTACAAGAGTTATAATAAGTTACCAAAACCTAAAGCCTATAAACAAGTTTTCAAACATCAGTCAACCTGAGATACAGCCTCCACTCGCTCCATATCTTTTGTACCATCAGTTTTCTTAGAGAATTGGCCGAGCTTCTGTTCTAATAATTCTAATCTTTCTTGCAATGCAAGAATCTTTTCTGTGCTCTATGGATAAAAAAAAATGAGAGAGTAAAGACACTATTCACGATATGGTATCTTTAAACTCTTTAGATAAAAATATACTTGTGACGTAGTCTTTAGATTTCATGATTTTAAAGTAATGTTTGATGTTTTAATTTTATTAGAAAGTAATTTAAAAATGAAGACTGTACTTTGGTGCAAATAATGGTCATTCAGTCAATTTTTGATTACTCATGATAAATTAAGAATCATTTGGCAAATCAATCTTAAATTTGAGAATTATATCAATTTTTTGGAATGCACAAAGACACTAGAAGTTACAAATGTGTAGTCAGGGAATAAAGTAATACTTTTATCTATGTTCAGTCGCTATGTACGCTAAGTACAATGGAACTTATTTTATTTAAATGTGTTTTCACTTGCAAATATTTTTATACCAACTCTGTTTTAAAATTCAACTTTATCATGGAATGTGAAATCAATAGTGAAAAAGATATACCCTTATATTATAATTTCAAGTTTTTATAGCTGCAGTAAAAAGTAAAAACATTTACTAGATGGTGCAATAAATTAAAATAGAAATCAAAATACCACTAAGAACAATAGACATACCATAAATTTCTCGAATGTAGGAAAAAAACTACAAATTTCACATGTGGATGTAACAAATGAAGACCACAATCAAAATATCACTACAACGTTAAACATGGTACCACATGAACCACAAGCCAGTTTATGATTGAATTAATCTTTTAACAACTCTCGTCAAACAGATAAATAAAACTTATTCATGATAATTCAAAAACATTTAGGATTAAAATCGTTGGTAAATCAAATTAAGAAAAAGCCCTATCACCTTCAACAGTTGGATCTGTCTTCATCAGGGACAAAGGCATAATGATACAATGGAAACTGAAGTGCAGATATAAGTTGAAAATTAGAAATTATGTCTGATTGGCCACTTATGAACTATTACATGTCATGGAGCACCAAGATAAATTTGAAGGTTGAAAACAAGATCAGAACTTACCAATATCATATACTTATTTTACTTTTTAAGCTTATCTGGAACTTTCAAACTAATCTTTGTGCTGCATGATGAATACAGTATAAAATTATTTACTCCTACAGTTCTAACATAAGACTTTGGCTGACATCAAACTGGTAACATTTACTTCTTGGTTTTCAACTTGTTACGTTTACAATTTACACAACAATGCATTATTCTGCCTTTTCCCCAGATGAAGACAGATATATCTTTTAAAAGTGCTAAAGTTTCATTGCTTTTTTTATGTTATTAGCTTTCAATACTTTAATAAATGTTTGCGAAAAATGCACATAATTAGGATATAAGAATATTTTAACTGTTCCCTGATGTGCATCTTATTTTTGAAGTTTTATATTTGGATACAAAAAAATATTGATAAGAAACCACCAGGTAGCATCAAAAAGGGATATTTCTTGAAATAAGTTTCCTCTTATTTTATTTTACCTTCTATTTTGTGAATATGCACAATTTACATTTTGGAAAAATGAATAACATCATTAAAAAAAGCAATATTTATTATAATACACCATATTATAATACATTTAAATACACTATTTCAATATTTATTATGGTATTTTTTATAAACCATCGAGTAGGATCAGACTAACATATTATTACAAAAAAAAATCAAAACTCAACGAGCGTTGTGCACATTTTGAGAGTTTACATCAAGCACAGTTGGACATAATGTAATGGCTCTTTTTCCTAGCTAATCAATTTGAAAAACTCCTAAGATAAACGAAGAAATAAGAGACCAATTATAGTTAGAAAGTCCAGAAAATAAAGAGAAAACTAGGTGGACAAAATAGTCAAGCAGAATGTGCAAGCTAAACACAGGTGATAGAGCAAAAATAATAATAAGAAAAAAAACTACTCAGTGTACTATCTTTTTTTGCTATTCTATAGCTATGCCAATGAAATCAGAAACAAACTATTAATATTCTTCCTTTTTTTGTCCTGCTCTAGAACTACATTGAAATATTCTGTTGGGAATCATATATATATCATTAAAATCTTAAGAAATATTTATTTTAGAAAAATAAGGTTCAAAAAAGATGTTAGAAGTGTGGTCTACTTTTTGAAAGCTGAATACATATGTTCAGAACTAAGCAATAAAATATTCTAAAACCTTGTTTAAAGCCTTATCAAAAAGTAAAATGTCAAAATGAATCAATATGTAGAATTATACATGAACTGTTTTCTAAGTTAAAATACTTTTATTTGTGAGCTTTTGACCCTCTTACTGAAGCCTTCATCGGGCAACAATGTACTGAGCAAAAAGGTTGTTCTGAAGTATAAGATTTCAATGCAAAAAGAAAAAAAAAAAAGGTTTGTGGAGAAGGGGGGAGACCTGAAGTTGGTTATGGGTCCCCATGGTCTTAATTCAGCTCGGAGGATGAACGGATAAAGCAAGAGTTTAATCCAACCAGTTATAAATTGAGAGGGTATATCTGACCCTATTTGTAGTTTGAAGTCCAACAAAATTAGAAAAGCTGCTGAAGATATAATTTCCACAGAAAATCATTCAAAGGATCTGACAAGAGTCAGCTTTGGCAATGATTGTTGAAAAATCCATATCAAACATTCTAAATATCTACTATTGTTGTGACAATGTAAAACTAAGTTGTGAAATGCAATACCACTAGCATAACATTTAAATCAAGTAGTAATTTTAAATGGAACTGTATAACAATTCTCCACAATATCATTGTGGGACAATTTGTTTGGTAATATATAGAAAGCCTAGCTTGAAACAGGAACCTGTATCTTTCTAGTTAGGTAAGAAAACTTTTAAATACACATTATGCTGGTTATGCATGCTACTTAATTATTGATGTCATTCAAAAACAATTTCAGTACTGGTTTTATATTTCACCATATGTTGGCAGGTAATCGAAAACCAGCTTCAATACTGACGCCATTCATATACTCTACTTACCTACCTACTGTCAAACAGTGAGAAGCTTTTATCCTCAAGTTTCGAAAATTATAGATCTTAAAAGCATGTCAAACTCAGAAAATGCTCACAACTTTAGTTAACTAGTAATACAACAATCACATTAAACTCTCAGTAGTATGTGCTTTCATTTATATACGGTTACATAACAGCAACAATCTTGGACATTAATTATGCTTTTAAGGAAGCTCCCAGGTTTGTTTTATATTTGCTGTAATGCTTCTTATATACATACATAATTGTTTTTACTACAATTTCTAATTATGTTATAAATTAAATTACCTTTAATGCCAATTATGATAAATACAATGCAACTAAGGTTTCAAATCTCATTTCTTTTTAACAAAAACAAAACAGAATTATGGCATTCATGAAAAGATACTGTATTTATTCAATATAAAAACGTGTTTCTGTGTTGGTAGATAAATAAGTTGAGCTTCATTAAACTGGTAGTCTTTTTGAAAACTGAACATCATAACTATGTAAACAGGTAAATAAAAAAATAATAATACCATTGCTCAGTCTAGTGGAAAAGTTCTCAACATGTTTTTGTGTAACAGTATATGCTGAAAAATCTTTAAGGGATGTTATATTTTGATAAATAAATTAAAAACAAAAGACAATAGAAGTTCTTGGTGTTCCAAAAATTAAAAGCTCTCACAAACAAAGCATTAGATTTTAATAATTGAAGTAATGGAAAAAATATGTGTTTGCTAATTGTTATTTTATTAGTAATGAAACTGAAAACAGTACATAATGTCCTTTCTGGTAGAAAACAGTTACATAAATATAGTAGTAATCTATTACATACTTTCTGAATATGAGAACAAATGTCTGAAAAACTTGGGAGAAAAACTACTTTATAACATTTCACAGAGCATAAAGAGTAACAGCTTTGGTTTTAAAGGGTTATTATACGTAAAGAGAAGAAAATTACATTAGACCTTTGTTTAATGGAAGCAATATCTGTCCAAAATCTAGATATCAATATCAGATATCAGTAGCACAACATAAAATTTAAATTTTCTTAAACGAGTTGTAGTAGGAATTCAAACTATGTTGAATTCTTTTTGCAGAAAAGAAACAACAACTAATATTCACCATAAAGTCCATAAATCTTATCTTTTTTGTACAATCAGACAGAAATAACTGCTATAACGATACTTACAAGTTTAAGCTGTGCTTCTTTATTAGTCAACTCTTCTTCTAGTTTCTCATTCAGGTCATGCAAGGAAGTTGATTCTCGCTGACCATTAAGGTATCTCTTCTCCAATGTCGCTATTCTTTCTTCTTGATCATGCTTTTGAGCATTGTTCTGGTTGGGTATAAAACATAATTTAGTAATTATAATCATGTAAAACATTGGAGAGAAAAACTGGTACAACTTTTACAAATATTTATAATCAAGATATATTAGTCACATTGAACATATACACGAGCAGATAATTTCTAGATAAATATAGCTGTTTTGTTTTGAAATATATATCTAACTTTTAATATGTATATTTAAAATTACTAGCCTATGCCTCTAATTACTTCCAAAGTTTATTCTTTTTAAGCATAGTAATACCTTTTTAAATGCTGATATAGTTGATTAACTAAGGTAATACGCACACAGATAAATAATCCTTACCTCTTTTAGGTCTTGAGATAGTCTGGAATTTTCCTCTTGTAACCTTACTAGATCTCTCTTTGATATAACAACAGCCTCTTCATATTCCCTGAGTTTACCTCCGAGTTCTGCTAATCTGCCTCTTGCTAGGCTTAGTTCTGTGTTCTGCTTTTCTATTGTATGTTGCAATTCCACCACTTTTGCTGCTTCTGCTGCCACCTCTGCTGATCCATTTGATACCTAATAGAAAAATAATGATTAACACTGAAATACTGCAGTTCAAAGGTTCAAATTCAGAAACAATTTTATAAACTTAGCTTGATATAATTACCATTTTCACTTTGCATTTATGAAAACTTACTCAAACTTCACTGCATGTAATATTAAAGTAGTTTTGAAGCTTCATTACATTATTACAAATCTGGTCATACTCTATCTGATGACCATGCATCTTGACAATAGCTGTGCGGCATAGTTTCTCTTTCAAAATACTCCACTGCAAAGCTGTTGTGTCCAAAGCTCATTGATCCTCCCTGAGTCTATCCATAATCCATTTAGTGTACAATCAAAACAGTTTTTCAGTACTCACTTTAACAATCTTATCATATCTTCAAATGGAATAAAATAAATACCCATTTCACTCTCCAGTTTCTTTTCTAGATGGACACTCTTCTCAATTACATTGCATACTTCCACCTAGGACACGTGGATGGCTTTTATTACTGACCTTTGTGTTTATAGAATCTCACCAGTTACAAAACACCGACTGGAGTACAACTTGTTGCATTTATCTTTCCAGATGGTCCTGGGTCCCCACACTGATCCATATTATTTTGTTTTTGACTGCCTTTAAGTACAAGAGACAGCCTGTCTTGGAAATTCTAAGTCCCCAACCTGAATACATTTTTATGATCTCAGTGTATGAATAAGTTGCACTGAGAAGGGCTGTTAGATAACCCTACCCAAAATCAATCAATTTTTATTGGCATCACATTACATGCAAAATGCCAAACAATGTCAAAATGCATTTCAGATAAATTTGGTTCCACAGAGACTTTATATTAGATATGGTTATCAAAATATTTTGCAGCTTGTTAAACAGCAACTTTAAAATCATTGCAATATATACTACTCAACACTGTTTATTATAAAAGTTTTATAACCAGTTCAAATAATTATAAATTGTTTATCAGCAAACAAAACATTTGATATCGGCATAAAAGATCAATAGATATTCACTACAAGAAACCACTGAATTCTTAACTAATTATTCCTTGAATTCAATATCATCTATCACATTTTCTAAGCAATATTTGACAAGCTACATATATATAATTTTTTTCCCCTAGAAGTCTCTACGTTGATTAATAGCAGATAAATTAATTTAAAATACATTTTTCAGGTGTTCTATTTTATAGTTTTATTAAGTAAAAATTTGCTGGAGTAGTGTAATTTAAGAAATGTGAGTCAAATTGCTGTATTAAAGTAGAAATTGTTTGAATCAACCTCAAAATGATACATATGCATCTTAGCTAGTTCAGTTGTTTCTTATAGCAATAAATAAATTTTTCAATAAGCATTTCTAGCCGATTGTTATAATTATTCTTATGTAAACATACTTTTAATATTTGTGAAGCACCATTTGGTTCTTCTTCTCCATTTTTCTTCTCTCCCTGAAACTCTCCCAAGATGAACTTGTGTTTATATTGGACCAACTGGTAAAAACAAAACAAAAGAGGAGGTATAATGAATTACAACATTCAGTTTCAAGTGCATTTTTAACTTGTTAAAAGAAAGTTACTCGAGATATTTAAAAGGATAACACACACATTAGACCAACACAATATTTTTAACTTCCTTAAAACATACTTTTTATCATACTGAGTTCTCAAGATAAGCTACTTCTAAATTCAACAAAATGAGCTGTTATAAAACCTAAAGGACATGTTTTATCTCCTATGTTTCAGTCTAGTAATAAAAACCGTGAAAACATACAACAGCGTAGTATGACAGCTATTTGAACATAAGAATAAAAATCTCAACTACTTAAAAGTATTTTAGAAAGTTAATATTATGTAATATTGGAATGTAATCTCATTTAAACTGTTCGAGATTTACAGTCTGGCTAGTGGCATGCACAAAAACTTTCCCAGCAGCAACTAGAAGTAATAACTCCTTTCTGTGCAGACATTGTTTTTATGCTATTTTTGCAGCTGATTTCTAATCGTCAATGTTTTTTTGTTTTGTTTTTATAAACACAAGTGATTTAATGATACTTAAAAATAGTTGAGAAATTAAAATAGATAAAAATATGACAATATTGTTACTCTACTCAGCAAAATTTCAATTTTATCAGTAAAAAAGATTCAAGAATATCTGTTTTTTGAACTCTTATATCTATTGGGCTAACTGGAACTTCTAATGAAGCTATACTACCAACTAAACCTTAGGTTTAGAGTTAAAACATGAAAGGCTTTGACAGCTCACTCTGCATATACAAACTATGTTAATAATGCTAATTGGTGAGACATGATAAAGTAACATGATGTAATAATAATAATAATTATGTTGAACCATAGGAAAATCACTATTTTCAAATGTTAATTAGATTACTACTTTATAGTTATTCTGTCCTTAATAATAAAACATTACCATTAAAACTCTGATATATTCATTAAGTAACTACTTCATAGTTATTCATATCCTGTCCTTAATAATAAAATATCACCATTAAAACTCTGATATTTTCATTAAGTAACTACTTTATAGTTATTCAAATCCTGCCCTTAATAATAAAACATCACCATTAAAACTCTGATATATTCATTAAGTAACTACTTTATAGTTATTCATATCCTGTCCTTAATAACAATAATAAAACATCACCATTAAAACTTTCATTAAGTAACTACTTCATAGTTATTTATACACTGCTAGTTAAAGTAAACTCTGCATTATATAATTAAACATCACCAATAACACTTTATTATGTTGATGAAGCTACTACTCTACAGTTGTCCATACAAAGAAAAACACTTATGCCATGTGGTTTTGAGCCTTCACCTATGCAGAAACATTTGTCCTTTGCAAGACACTTTTGAATATTCTCAAAGCTTTTAATTACGCTTCTTTGATTTTGGAAAAAAAAATCCTTTCTCTATTAGTAATTCAGGTTATTTGTTTGTGTCCACCGTGGGAAATTGAACCCCAGATTTTAGCATTGTAAGTCTATAGACTAACCACTGTCCCACCGAGGGACAAACAATTAGGTGAAATTCTTCTAGTAATAATCATAGTCAACTATTGGAAGTGGCCATCTTTTTCCAATGTTCGTTGCATTAGCTGCAATGGTGGATAAAGAGTTATCTAGAAATTATGTTTTACGCAATAGGGGCATGGCTACTGATGTTATGAAATTCTGAGACTATTTTAATAGCTCCATATCCCAGCACATGACATTTACTTGTTTAACAGTAGATAACACTAAATGAAGCATGAAACAGCAAGGGAGCATTTCAAGACAACCTCCTTAATGCCTAAAAAAAAACAATATTTTCTTCAACATTGTACCTTTTTCTTTGATCACTAAACTTCCAAGTGATTCTCAACCTACCTCTTCATTGGCTTTTGCTAATTCCTCTTCTAGTGTCACTGCTCTTTCTAGTGCCACTCGTAATTTTTCACGTACCTAGAACATTAAAGCCTCAGAATCAGTTTATAAATATTTTAATATAACATCCAAAAAATTGTCTTTTAAATTCCATTTCATAACTCCTGAAAATAAACGTAAAATAATAAACTATTTGTTTCATGCATAAAGAATAGGACATATACATCAAAGCATAATATTGTTTCAGGAAAAATTCATAAAAAATAAAGGAAGATGAATGATGTGCAATGAAGAAACAAATTAAACTAAGGACTTTGATAAAAGAATCACTGCAGTTGATTCAAAACACTAATTTCAAATGCCTTTAAAAACAAATTATTACAAAAATTTTTTTTTTATCCAGATTGATATAGCACTACATGATAGCTCCTTGTGAGAATATACATGTATTCCATAAAATATATCAAAAAACTCAACAATTCTTGGGTAGAAAAATCTTGATTTTGTATCAGAAATGTTATACTAAAAGTAGGGGTTTAAATTCACAAGTTTACTCTCACTTTTTCATCCAATGCTTTGTGATGTTCAAAGAGGGACTTCAAAGCTTTTAGAACTTCTACCTCTGAGGATACACCAGCTGGGGACTGGGCTTGTCTCTTTAGGACTGTCATTCTCAGCGATCTCTCATGACGAGAAACAAGACACTCCAGATGTTCAAGAAGAAGCTAATGCACAAATGAAATGTTCAAACAGTTATACCTCAAAACTAAACATTTAAAACTAAATCACTATCTTTTGTTTGCATTAGCTATAACTGTATACTTAACAACTGCTTTGTCTAAAAATCATTTCTTAAAAATGCTACTGAATAATTTTCTAAATAAAACGTGAAAGACATTTTTGAAACAGTAAACATAACTACAACATCCTTTTTAATTACTTGATGTAAGTGAAATTAGTCAATCTAGTATACAGGGATAGATTAAGGTTGTTCAAGATGAATGTTTTTAGTCGAAAGATGTATGAAATGTACAAAGACCAACACAAAAAGACTTATAACTTGAAACTCTTAAAAGTAAAATGATACAAAATTTTAAACGTAAAGGAAAGGGGATGAGGCAAAGAGCAAATAATAGCTCATAAAACACAGATTGGACCAAAAGCAAACTGATAAATACATAGTAAGTGAAGGTGAAAATTTGTTACAAGACATTCTGCAAGAGGTAAATTTCAAGCATTGAGCTACATTATTTAATATGATCTGGTGGTTGTGTAAAAAGAAATTTAGAGAGGAAAAAAAGGCCCTCTGATGCTGTTTACATGATGAGCTCTATGAGAAAAAAGACTGAGTTATAATGATAAGAAACTAACTGACAAATCACGAGAAAATTAGCTTCAGACAAATGATGATAAACTATGAGAGTGAACATCTATATCAAACCCTTGGAAGAAGAATGACGCTGGAATAGAACCCGGATGGACTTGTGTCATTTAAGATAATTAATCCAATTAATCTCAATTAGAGCTGCGATCCTGATTGTCTGAACAAAAAAAGATTAGTCTGTGAAGCACCATCCACTTGACTGAATAGTGGAGTTGGAGTATTCATATGATACCAGCAGTGACTCTTATATAAACAATCACAAGAAGAAAGTACAAACTGGAAGTAACAGAAGAACTGACAATACTGAAATATCAGAAGTGAGCTGAATTTTCCTTCTCAAGTAAGCCAATAGTCAGGGAAGGCATGTTTGTCTGAGACAAAATCTAAATGATTCCAATTTTACTTGGTACAGGATTTACAAGCTGAAAAATGAAAAAAAAAAAACTGTTATCATGTAGTCTAATTGTAAAACTCATTGTAATGGAGAAAGTACAGTTGAAAAACTAGCTAGTTCACAGGAAAGCTAGAAATACACTATGATTAAAAAAAAACTACACGGAAACTGTTAGCAGAATAAAGAATAAAAATCACTGCCACTTAGTTCATGTGAACATTTGGCATCTACTCTCCACTGGTTGAATAATTACCTGAGGTTTACATAAACTGAAGAAAGACTGAGTGTTCTAGCTTTAATACATAATCATTATGCCACTGCTATCAATACTGAAATTGTATGCAAGTTATTTATGGAAAAGCGCCTCATATGAATGGAGCATGCTAACATGCTATTTCAGTAGTGCATACATGTACATATATGATAGCCAATGATTGAAATAAATAGCTAATATACCATTGTCGTACAGAGTTGTTTAAATTAGTAATATAATTTAACAGTTAATAACTACTCTGTATGTAGATAATACAGTACCTTAATATAATAAAAAAACATATATATTTATGTTAATTTAAGTCTTACTCCCCCATGCAGTGTTACAACAGAATAATGATTTGTTGACTTTTCATTGGATGATTGTAGATTTTATATGAACAGCCATGGAATTGTTTAAAACTATTTTATCATGCCAAACTGCTTCAGATTTAATCTCACAGCACCTGGGAGAGGACATGCCCTAGACCCCCCATAGCATTAACATGCTTTGCATGCTCATTGCCCTTCATATAATATGTGTTGGTTTTTGATCTCATAAATAAGAACCTCCTTTCAAACATTCTGCATATGGACCTGATGTTTAGATAAAAAAAAAAGGATTTTGATAAGTCACCTGGAAAATCTTTAAAAAAGACTGTCATAATAAAGGTGGCATGAAAGATCCTCGTAAAGTAGGTGAAGTAACAATGGTCATGGTTACTCCTAAAACGGACTGTTTAAGTTACAGTTTATCTTTAATTGTTCTTTAAAAGACTGTAAAGGGATATAGGGTATGTGTAGTCATGATCTGAGAACTGTGATGTGATAAAAATGTCTTGAAATTTTTTCAGGTGGGTTGTGAAGATACAAATGTATGTATAGTTTTGGAAAAGACTGTCGTAATAAAAAACATTAAAAGTCCTTAAAAGATCTATAAAAAAGTTTGAAAAAATACAGACAAAGGCATGTGTGCACAGTTTAGAAAATGACTGTCATAATGAAGAACCTTAAAAAATTTATAAAAAAGTTTGAAAAAACACAGACAAAGGCACATGTGCATAGTTTTGAAAATGACTGTCATTAAAAGCCCTTAAAAGATTTATAAAGAAGTTTGAAAAAATATAGACAAAGGCACATGTGCACAGTTTAGAAAATGACTGTCACAATGAAGAACATTAAAAGATTTATAAAAAAGTTTGAAAAAATATAGACAAAGGCACGTGTGCATAGTTTTGAAAATGACTGTCATTAAAAGCCCTTAAAAGATTTATAAAGAAGTTTGAAAAAATATAGACAAAGGCACATGTGCACAGTTTAGAAAATGACTGTCACAATGAAGAACATTAAAAGATTTATAAAAAAGTTTGAAAAAATATAGACAAAGGCACGTGTGCATAGTTTTGAAAATGACTGTCATTAAAAGCCCTTAAAAGATTTATAAAGAAGTTTGAAAAAATATAGACAAAGACACGTATGAGAGTTTTGAAAAAGACTGTCATAATGAAGAACATTAAACGTCCTTAAAAGATCTATACAAAAGAAAAGTTGAAAAAATATAGACAAAAACATTCATTGTAAATGAACAGAGTAACACTGTAAAGTTAATTGGAAAAATACTTTTAAAAAGTGTTAGCAATTATTAGTAAAAAAAAATTCACTTGCTAAATTTTGTGTATCTGTAATGCATTTTTGAATGCTCTCTTATGTATCAATCTGTACAACACCAAATTGAGAAACATTGGCGATTGGACATTTTTATTACTCAAAATTAATTACCACTTCTATATATCTTTATTCAATGCTATAGAGAGATACTGATCACACTTTCAGTGAACAGCCTTGTATGTGGTTGTAAGAATTTAAGATCTAGGAAAATGGAATTATATTTTGGATAGTTCAACAGACTGAGATGCGTGTTCACATTGCATATTTTCCATGCCTTAAGAAGTTACACTATAAGAGCCTTCAATTGAATGAAATAAACAGCCATAACAGGCAGCAGAGTAATATAAATATTATTAGACAAAAATAAGATGTTATTACCGAAGTTTGTCAGTATATCCTAAACCACAAATCCCACATTATATAAAATTCTTTAAATTAAATATTGCATGCTTCTTTTGACTATAAACATATAATTACCAGAGAGGGCATGTGTGTACAAAAACCATACAGGGATGTATATATAAAAAAAAAAAAACTTTCAACAATCCACTGATTGGTGAATAATGAAACTTTATCATTATCTTAATTATGTTAATAAGCTTTATTTTTTTTTGATTAATTATATTAACAACCCACTTAGTTTTTGATTACAGTGCACTGTCTTCAATAACATCACACTGTTATTTAAAAAGTTGTATGTTTCTAAATAGATAGTGCATGGTACCCATTAGATAACTTACCCACACTGTTATTTAAAAAATTGTACATTTCTAAATAGATAGTGCATGGTACCATTAGATAACTTACCCACACTGTTATTTAAAAAATTGTACATTTCTAAATAGATAGTGCATGGTACCATTAGATAACTT